TGTTGGCCAAGAAGGACCGAGTGTCTGCAAGGGCAGAGCCTCCCCGCGGCTAGAGGACCAGACGCCAAACACCAGGATTGTAACGGGAGGCCTGGCCAAGCGGCGTTGTTAGTCTACATCGGGGCTAAACCCGGTATTGAAAATCTCTGGAGGTCAGCACGTGATCGTTCGGGCAGACACGGCCCGGGTCACACCAGTGAAGACCAGTGTCGGGAAGGTGTTTTCCGAGTAGGGAGACGAGAAGGCGGGCAAACGCTGCCAGGCGTGTGTGGCTGGTTTTGAACTCCTGACCTTGAGCAATCCGCCCGCCTCGGCCTCCCAAGAGCTAGGATTACAGGCGTGAGCCACAGCGCCCGGCCTTTTCTTCTTTTTTGAGATAGAGTCTCCCTCTGTTGCCGGGCTAGAGTGCCATGGCTTCAGCCTAGCTCACAGCAACCTCCAACTCCTGGGCTCCAGGGATCCTCCTGCCTCCGCCTCCCTAGTAGCTGGGACTACAGGCATGAGCCGCTATGCCCGGCTAACTTTTTCTATATATATTTTTAGTAGGCCAATTAATTTCTTTCTATTTTTTTAGTAGAGACAGGTCTCACTCTTGCTCAGGCTGGTTTCAAACTCCTGACCTTGCGAGATCCTCCCGCCTAGGCCTCCCAGAGTGCTAGGATTACAGGCGTGAGCCACCGCTGGGGCCTGCAGATGACACAGATTTGTTTTGTGATCAAGGATTAGAAAAAACAACAACCGGGCCCTGGAGGCTACCCCCCACCACAGTGTGCTGCCCGACCCCTGGTGACGGCCGCGGACGTGGGCCCTGCGAGGCCGGGGCGGACGTGGGCCCTGCGAGGCCGGGGCGGACGTGGGCCCTGCGAGGCCGGGGCGGACGTGGGCCCTGAGAGGCCGGGGGGGACGTGGGCCCTGCGAGGCCGGGGCGGACGTGGGCACCCAGCAGTTGCTCTTGCCGGCCCCGCTGCCCGTCTGCGCCGCAGGCGTCTGGGCACAAGAAGGGACGAGTGTGTCTGCAAGGGCAGATGCCTCCCCGCGGCGAGGACCCAGACGCCAAAACACCAGGATGTAACGGGGACGGGCCTGGCCAAGCGGCGGTTGTTTAGTCTACATCGGGCTAAACTCCCGGGTGATTGGAAGCATCTCTGGAGCTGCAGGGGCCACGTGATCGGGTCTCGGGCAGACACGGCCCGGGTCAAGCCAGTGAAAGACGAGTGGTGTGGGAAGGTGTTTTCCGAGTAGGGGACGAGAGGCGGGGCAAGATGCGTGCCAGGCTGTGTTCGTGTCCTGGCGTGTCCTCGTGCTCGTGTCCCATGCACGGCAGACCTCGTGGCTGACAGCAACAGAACCGCATTCCGTCGCCGTCCTGGAGCTCAGAAGCGAGGTGCCGCGGGCCGCGCTCCCTCTGGAGTCTGTCTCGGGGAACCCTTCCTTGCCTCTTCCTGGCTTCTGGCCGTCCGCCTGTCAGCCGCCCCGACTCTCCCGGCATCACTCCGGTTTGTGCCCCCGTCCTCCCGTGCCGCCCTCTCTCGTGCTCCCGCGCGGGTGCCGGGCCCAGCCGAGAAGGGCCTCGCTGCTCCAGCGCGCCTCGCCCTCGCCAGCCAGTCACGTCTGCGGCGCCCTCGAGCCAGGTGCGCTCACACTCACAGGGGTGGAGGCTGGACTCCGACGGATCTTTCTGGGGGGCACGCTTCACCCCATAATAGGCTGCTCCCCCTTTCTCGGAGCCCAAAGGGCTGGGATGTTTCTTGGTGTCCGTGCCCCCTGTCGCCAGTGATGACGTGGGTGCCACACTCAGAGGGAGTGACAAGGCTTCTGGAAGGGCTGTTCTCTCGTGTATGGCTCGTCCCGGCTGGGCAGCCCGGGAGACCCCGGAGTTTCCCCGCTCTGGGCTGGGAGGAGGGGTGTGGGGAGACAGAGAACCATCTGGCGGTGGGGAGACGGTGTCTGCCGTGTGGCTGTGCCCTCACTGCCAGGTACGAGGCTCTGAAGGTGACTGCGCCAGCCCCTTGGAGTGGGAAGGCTGGTTCCTCAAATCACACTCTGGAGACTTTTACAGAGAACAATGTCCCTGAATAAAAGCAGCTCTTCTGCTGGGGCTTCTGGGATTTGAGGCTCCTGAGCCCAGAAGTTGCAGGGGTGACTCCAACTCGGTAGGAATTCTGCTCCCCTAGTGCTTGGTGTCCCCGGAGGCATGGAACCCCTTTAAGAGCATGCCGGGGGGGTGCAGGCCCATGTTCGGGGCTCTGGGAAGGTTCGCAAAGGACCAACAGGAGAGATTTGGGATGGGCCGCAGCACGCCCACCCATGCCTGGGCAGGAAGGTGGGCAGGAAATGTTTGGGTGGATGGGCCTTGTGAGTGGGTCCCACCAAACGGAAGCCCCTCAGGCCACAGCCGGCCACGAAAAAGTAGGACTCCGGCCCGGGAACAGTGAGGCCTGAGCTACCGCGGGGAGGGAGGCAGGTGCCCCACGGAGGGCAGGTGGCTGAGCAGGCTCCCCTGCCCTGTCCACACCAGGTCTGAAGGATGTTCCAGTCCTCTGCTGCCACGAAACAGAGCACAAACCGGCTTCCACGGGCTGCCTCTGCACTCTCTGTGCCCCTACTTTGTGGGGTCCCATTCATGAGGCCTGAGGACAGGCTGCCTTTTGTTCTGGAACTCTCTGGCCAGCTGGACACCCTGTCCCCCAATTGTAGGACTGGGAGGAGACCCACGGAGCTAGGCAGGGACCAGAAATAACACACTGACTAAGGGTGATGTTCTTGGGGAAGGCAGATGGCCCAGTGGGCCAGCCCAGTGCTGTCGGTGCTGGGATCTGGTGGCAGGGGTAGGCTGGCCAGGCTGGTTTTCTTAGAGTGCCCGGGAAGCCCATTTTCTCCTGGAAATCTACACTCATTGGCAAATCTTGGTCTCATTTCTGCCTTTGAAGCTGTTGTCTTATAGCAAGGGAGGGTCAAGGGATCCTCTAAGTGTTTTATTCCTCCTGAAAAGCAGGCCCAGGGACAGCAGGGTACAGGAATACCTGAGCAACAAGTTCATTATGAGCACAGACGGTGACAGGTGCAACGGAAAACCGCATTAATGGACCCAGACAAATATTTTAAAAATTAAATCAATTATTGTTTATCTTTTAAAAGCCATACCTGGAAATTCCCAAAGTATAAAAAAAAAAAAAAACCCAAAAACCTGGGACTCTGCTTTGCCTTCCTTATTACATTAGCCGAGACCGGGTATGTACGTGAACACTCTGGAAGGGAGGCGCTGCTGAACTGGGGCCGTCTGAGGCACACTTTGTGTTCTTCGCAACATCCCACGAGCAGGTTTGCAGGGAACGAGGTCCTCAGGGACGCGGGCGAGTCCTTCCCTGCCCTGGCCTGGGCCCGGGTGCCCGGCAGGCGCGGGCTGGACTCAGTGCACGCCCTGCTTGGGCCAGTGCAGCTCCCTGGCGTACGCCCCCTTGCAGCTCCGGATCTCGTTGTCGTGCTCCATGCACTTGTTCAGGCCTGGCACCGCGGACCTCCAGCCGATGAAGCCCTGCGACGTCTTCGGGACCGGCGGGGAGGGGAGGACCTGCAATGGAAAGGCAGCGGTTCAGATGCCCTGGGCCACAGCGTGTCCCCAGAGGGACCAGGGCCCGCGTGGCGTGGGAGGCTGGGGCGGGAGAGGTGGAGGCGAAAGTCAGCGGCCCTGATGCGTGCTGCAAATAAGCACGTTCCGATCGCTGGGCTCCAGGGCTCACGTCTTCCCTGGAAGTCATGGACATCAGACGTGTTTCTTTATCTCGTGATGCTTAACACATTTAATTTATGACATCCGGCAAAATGATTTTTATTTGGTAATAGAGCAAAATAAGTAAATACATTAAAAATTAAAAAAAAAAGGTGAGATGCAGAAACGTCAAATATTGCAGTTCTCATTGCCCTTTATAAAACATAGGGCAATGTTGCTAGGTGGCTCTCTGTTAGTTACAAATCACCCTGTTTTTATTAGAAGGCTCTATGACACGTGTTTATACACACACGCACGTCCACCTGGGCGCACACTTCAAACCGTAGAGACCGTGGGAATGGAAAGCAATTGAATTTAATTGAAAAACCGAAAGGAAAAAGGACTTTTCCCCCCCGGAATGAAAAAGCACACCTTCGCCTGTCAATTTCTTGGACAGACTTGACACTTTTGGAAAACGAGGGTAAATGTTGAGGCAGGTTTCCCCCGTCTCCTTTTGAAATAATCTGTTCTGCTCTTCTCTGGTGATTTGAAGAAGGGCAGCAGTGAGGGATAGTTGCTCTAATGGAAGACCCAGGATAAAGGGGTTTAATATGCTTTGGTTACAGTTCACTCTAACAGAATCTTGCAGTGAGGAGGTGGCAGGAGGGGCCTGGGTGGTCCAGCGGCCCCTGGTGGACGAAGCCCCTTAGCGCATGCTCTTGAAGTGTCAATCAGTCTCCTGAGAGGGTGTGTGCAGGGAGGGTCGTCAGTGAGCGCCAGAGTGGCCAAAGTGTCCCTGAGCCGGCTGGGGGCAGGTTGCTCACAGGGAAGCCGTTCTCAAAGAGCGCATCCAGCCAGGCCCTCGGGAGCACAGAGACCGGCTTGCACCCCTCTCCGGCTTGCAAACGAAATGCAGGCGGAATCCTCCCTGAGAGGTCACCTGTCACCCACCACATTGGCAGAGGGATGAAAACACCAGTTAACCAGGGCATTGCAGGAGTAAGGGCAATATCGCAAGTGTCTTCTGAAAACGCCACTGCAAACACCCACTTGGCCTGACACTGTACCGCTTGGCATTTGTCCTGAGATATCTTGGCAGCCACACAGGTGCACAGTTATGTGAGTTCGAGAGACACCTCGAAGCCCTGTTTGTGCAGCAAAGGACTGGACGGAGCCACGTGTCCATATGCACAGGGGACGCATTCACACCATGGAGCACAGTTTGAAAGAAGGAGGCAGCTCTGCCTGCTCCAAGACGGAACAACCTCTAAGAGAAACTTCTAAGAGAAGAGGTACACAGAAATACGCAAGCTACGGTACAAGCTGTGTAAGTAAGAGAAAGCAAGGCTGGGGAGCCGCATGGGCATTGCTTCTATGCCAGGGCACAGGGGCACAGGTGGCTGGGGACGGCGGGAGGAGGGAAGGCGGCTTTTCACAGCTTGCCCTTTGGGTATTAAGGTTACCTGTTAAAAATAGGTATATTTTTAAAGACTCTGGTCACCTGAAGAGGGGGATGGGAAGGTGGTGTAAGGCTGGTGGCGGGCCCCCTCCTCTCCCTAGATCAAAAAGAAAAGGCTCATGAGATCAGACCCGCCAAGGACAAAACTGCCAGGCCCCACTGGCTGAGAGGATCCACACCTGGGTAAGAACATTTTAGCTCCTGGATTCCACAAATACCTCCAGTCCCTCCTGTTTCTCAAAAGACCACCCAAGGTCACGACGGAAAATCCCCAGCTCTTCCCGACAAAAGTCCCTAGCCCCGCCCAAAGGATATAAAAGGCCTCAGCCCCTTCAAACGGAGGTGACTTCTGGGGCTCCCCTCTCTTGGGGCCCCAGAACCTCGTCCACAAGTGTATAAGAAAGCCATGTGGTTTGGCCCCCACTCTTTCTCTCTGGAAACCATTTAACGTTTCTTGGGCAAGGAATTAGGTTCGGAGGGAAGCAGAGGCCAAGTACCTTTCTCACCCGATCAAGGTCCTTGTCCCCACCCTCCACCCCACAGGCACTGTCTGTTGAGTGCGGCCTTCGCCTCCGGCCCTTGCCCCTAAGCAGGAGTCTCACTTAGGAAGAAACGATGTTTTGGTTTGTTCTGGCCTCTGGGGGGTCCTCAGCTCTAAAGGCACCTCCGCAGGGAGCGTTTCCTAACTCAACTCCCCCATCCTCTCTTGTCCTGCAACATGCCACCTGCCCGTGTCCTCCTTGGCGACTAGCATAGCAGGTAAGGATTTTGCTGATTTTCTTGTTTAATGTTGGTTCCCCTGACTCAGGCACATGGGCTGGGTCCTGTCTTCTTGTTCATCACCGTTTGCCCAACCAGGCACCTGGCGCCTGGTAACAGCTGAGACTCACCAACCACACTCTAGAAATGCTGGGCACTGTTCTAAGTCCTTCAGCCACATCACCCCTCGGAAACCCGATGCTGCTCCCCGAAGTAGGTGCCTCGTTAACCCGGGAGGAAAGGGAGACACAGAGAGGTCAAGCCACTTGCTCAAGACCACACAGGAGATGAGCAGCAGAGCGGGACTTGGATCTCAGCAGTCTGCCTCCAAGCCTGGGCCCGGACCCGCTCTGCTTTCCTGCCCACACCCTATAATGTCAGTGGAAAGAACATCGTATGCCCCTCCTTTTCCTGGCTTCCCTCCACTTCTGCAGAGCAAGAGTGACGGCCCTCGCGTGGGCAGAGGCGCCGGACCCGGCCAGTTTCGCGCAGCTGGGCTTGGAAAGGGCGGGGAATCCGGACTCCACGTGCCGGGCGCTGCTGGGTTCTTACCTCTGGCGGTTGGCTTTGCACACCCGGAGGGATCCATTTCCAGTGGGGCCTATTTCTTACTTAGAAAAATGAGTATTTAACAATGACTTCCAACCTTGATGTATTTCTCCACGGGGGTCACCGGCCGGATGCGGAAACGCTCGGGAAGTTCGATTTTGGGCTTTGGGGTCTCGGGCTCTTCTTCACCCTTGATCAGCTGAAACAGAATCCCCAGAGACGGAAACCTCAGGCCCGGGCAGGGGACATGTTCCCCTTATCCTCCCCCCAGAAAGCCACACGTGCCAGGTGACGAGACTGGGGCTCAGGCTTGTCCCGGTTACGCAGCCAGGAAAGCGCGCGGTGGGACTGCAGCCCCTCCCCTGCTCCTTGCAGCCCCCTGATTTACATTCCCCCGTGGAGGAACTGCAGAAAGCTTGACGGGTTATGGACTCAAAAGGTGCCAGAGAGATTCCAGGACCCACCTTTAAAATACCGGAGGAAAGCCTCCACTCCCCCTGTTGATTTTTAAAGTGATTTTGAACTCTCTGAAAGCCCAATTTAATTACATATCAGGAATATTAATATAGACTCTTTTATGCATATTATATTAATAAGAACTCATTTTATGCATACAATTTCAAACTGTATAACTCTCTAAGAATTAACAAAACTCATTAGGAATGGCATAATCTCAAAGCCAGTGGGGTGGGATGAATTACAAATGGAGCTTACGCTGCCCTGAATCATGAATGTTTTGAATTATGCGGTTCTTTAATACCGTGTCCCTCCGAAAGTGTGCCTTCCTCGTGTTCTGTCCTGGAGATAGTGCTCGGGGTTGCAAACCGGTGGCCACCACTCCACTGAAGCCCACATAAGCAGCCTGTGTGTCTCTACAGTGTTTGATACATCCGAGCCACTTATTCTAGACTCAGAAGATTTCATTGAACACCTGGGTTTCTGGACTCTCTGGCAATGGGAATCTGCAGTCGGCCTCCCCATACGGTAGCACTCTGCTGGGCTGATGGTGGCGCCACTTTGGACAAAGCCTGTGGTCTCTTTGCCCGAGTTCCCACCTCTCCCTATTAATCATGCATGGCAGTTCTCCTGTTTCTGTCACCTGTCTTGTCCCTGTAGACGTCTGCACTTGCCATCCCTGGTTTAGGGAATGCCCAGAGTATTTTCCCAACAACCCCTCATCTGCCACTCCATCTCCAGGCATGACTAAGGTGTCCACAGACCGTCTTATTCCCACTTGCACCTCATAATTGCCCAATTAGGCAGGGAGGACGATCACCCCATTTTATAGATGGGAATCCAAGGGCAGGTGGCCATGGAATAGACTGACCAGCTTCTCACCTTGGCGTGGTCCTTATTAGTTGTGTGACTTTGCATTTCTTTGAATTTCCCAATCTGTAAAATGGGCCTAAATGAGCTCCCCTCTCTGCACAGGGGGCCTCGTGCAGATTAATGAGCTGTTTCCGATGAGGCACCTGGAACGTGCCCGGCACGTAGTAAGTGCTCAGGTAATTGGTGGGAGGAGGAAACCTTCTGGTTTCAGAGTTAGCAATCTTTGCCTACAACATGCTCTTTAATTTTATTCTTGCAAATCGTAGACCTCATAACCATTCATGCTTCGAAACGATTGATTCTATAACCTCAGGGCTCATAAAATTTATATTTACCTCCTCGAAGGGGGTTGTTAAAAATCCCCAGTTCTGGGGCCAGTTTTGCCGTGCTTCGGTTTCAGCCTTCAGACGGTATCTCCTAAAAAAGAAAGTTCCTGAGCGCTGGGCAACCTCTGAAAGGGGCTCAGGCAGCAAAGGTCCGTTGGGGAAGGTCTCACCTTCCTTGTGCACGTTGACCGGGTAGCTGTTCTGTGCCAAGGACGGAGCTGGGTGCTAGGACGGAGCTGGGTGCTAGAGCCAGGCCCCACCACTGAGCACCTCCCACCCCCGAGGGACTCCCACGGCTGACGGACAGATGCTGGCTGGACGTGACGGGGGGTGGGGTGGGGAAGGTGCCCAGGAGCAGACAAGTCTGGGCTGACTCTGCCCCAAGGGCCTTCTAGGTACCAGAGCCCTTACTTTGGAGGCCCGATGGCCCACAGCGACGGGCACATATGGAATGGTTGTGGAGGCACGCAGTAAATACCCCTGTCCTCAGGGCGGAAGCCCGCAGGGAGTGCATGAGGCACGAGGGTGCAAAATGTAGGGAGGGGCTCACTCCCACACTCCCAGTTCCTGCCAGCGCAGCGTCAGCACTCGCATGACCTTGACATTGAGTGCTTCCTTACATATTGCAACAGGGGCCTCACTTGCCCACCCTAATCCAGCCCCGCTTTTGTCCCCAGTAATGTCATTTACACACACTACCTGAGAGTTGAATTGCAGTAGATGAGCTGGTGTCTTACATTGTGCAAACATCTGATTAAACATGTAGTCATTTTGATGTTACTAGTTTCCTTTCATTTTGGAGCCAATATCTGCACATGTCCCCAGCCCCTCTGGTCTCTACAGTTTTGGAGGCCCCGGCCAAGGTCTTTGCCCTGAGCACTGAGCATCTGAGGCAGAGTCTATTTCCAGTCAAGATGAAACGTGAGCCACAAACAGGAGCCACATACACAATTTTAAATGTTCCAGTGGCCACATTAAAAATAAAATAAGTAAACAGATGACATTCATTTTAATAAGCCTTTTTTTGTGTGTGTATGAGCCTTTGAAATCTGTTGTAGATTTTACATTTACAGCTCATCCCAATTTGGACCAGTTACATTTCAAGTGCTAAATAGCCCTGTGCCCTGTTCATGGAGGAGGAGCCATCTGATTTGGGTCTTGAAGGATGAGTAGGAGTTTGGTGGAGAAGGAAGGAAAGAGCAGTTCAGACAGAGGGAACGTCCCTGCTATGGCAGTATCTCCCACTGGGGCTACTTGGCTAAAGTTATTTTTTTTTAAATTAACAGCTATGTATATTATGCCAAATGATACAGGTTTTCCATTTACGGGAGTGTGTAAAGTTGCCTATATATTTATTAAGTAAAACCCAATTTAAAGACAAATACGAAGTGACTAATACAGGTTTTACAAGGAAATGGTAGTTTAGGCAGTAAGCAATTATGCTTCCTTGTAACTAGAATGAAACCTAAATTTGTAACTTCCCATATGGGTTAAAACTTCAAAGGGATGGGATAATATTTAGCAATCTGATAGAATATCAATTCAAAATACCCATTACAAATGTCTGCTGATGGGAAATCTTTGAGAAAATTGTTTTTTTTTTAAATTAAAAGTTCTTATTACTTAAAAACCCAGGAAAATCGAGAGATAAAGTACACTTGTATCTCTCATTCAAATTGGGCAAATATTAAGATTTTCATTTTTTTTTCTTTAAATCGGGTCAATTTATAAAACAAGAACACGATAGTCGGCCTTCAAGAGCAAATCCAGCTGGTGCAGAGTCTCTCACTTCTCCGCCTTCCCGGTGGGCATGCCAGAACAGGGAGGGGGGCTCTCCTGCCGCCCTCGTGTGTCCCTAACTCTGTCCCCCGTTTCCTGAGGCCCCTGACGGTGCTCGGCGCACGCCCCTCGCGCCCCGAGGTCGAGCACCTCCGGGACTTCGTGGGGAAACAGGGCGCCAGGTGCGCGCACTCCAGGTGGGACCCCCGCCCACCGGGAACCGGCCTGCGGCGTTACCAGATCCGGTCCTGGGCCACCAAGTTCATGCGTTCCGCGGCGGCGGTGCTGATGGGTTTCTGCGCCATGGGGTCTGGGCTCTCTGCGCGCCCGGCAAGCTCAGGCCCAGGGCACGGCGTCCCGCGTCGCCCGGGAGACCGGTTGCCAGGCGACGCAGGGCGTGGAGGCGGAGGTGGGGTCGCACCTGGCGGGGGCGGGGCCCTGGGCCCCCGCCGCGTCCTTGGTCCAGGGCTTGGCGCCCGCCACCCTCTGCTTGAGTCGGGGCTTTTCGCCCACCTGCTCCCCTGCGGAAAACCCCGGGGGACCCCTGGGCCTGACCGCCACCTGCAACCGCCACCTAGAGATTGGGAACCAGAGCCTCCACGGCCACTCTTAACGGCGCGGCCCGCACCCGCTCTGGCCCGTGCGGACGCCTCCGGGGAGGTTAGTGAACTTCGGGGAATCGTCCAGAGGCTCTTTGTGCCCGGCTCCTCTGGCCCAACGCTGTGCTCCAGCGGCCGGTAGGCGCGCGGCAGTGGGCGCATTCTTCTCCGGGAGGCGGGCTGCAGTGGGCGCATTCTTCTCCGGGAGGCGGGCTGCAGTGGGCGCATTCTTCTCCGGGAGGCGGGCTGCAGTGGGCGCATTCTTCTCCGGGAGGCGCGCGGCAGTGGGCGCATTCTTCTCCGGGAGGCGGGCTGCAGTGGGCGCATTCTTCTCCGGAGGCGGGTCAGCGGCGCATTCTTCTCCCGGATGATCGGCGGGCTGCAGTGGGCGCATTTTCTCCGGGAGGCGGCTGGCAGTGCGCATTCTTCCCGGGAGGCGGCTGGCAGGGGCGCATCTTCTTCCGGGAGGCGCGCGGCAGTGGGCGCATTCTTCTCCGGGAGGCGGGCTGCAGTGGGCGCATTCTTCTCCGGGAGGCGCTCGGGTCCGCCAGGGACGGACGCGGCCTCGGAGTTTTTGGCCATCACAGAAGTGCTGCTGTGGACGTTGCCGTGCGCATGGTTTCGGAGGACACGTGCGCTTGTTGGCGCCCACTCTTTATAACGTTCCCAAATGAAGTCCACACATGATACTGCCTGCAGACCCCACCAGCCTACACCCTCTTCTTCTTCTTCTCTTCTTCTTTTTTTTTGAAACAGTCTCACTCTGTCTCCCGCGGCTAGAGTGCCGTGGAGTCAGCCTAGCTCACAGCAACCTCAGACTCCTGGGCTCAAGCGATCCTCCTGCCTCAGCCTCCCGAGTAGCTGGGACTACAGGCATGCACCACCATGCCCGGCTAATTTTTTCTATATATTTTTAGTTTGCCAATTAATTTGTTTCTATTTTTGGTAGAGATGGGGTCTGGCTCTTGCTCGGGCTGGTTTTGAACTCCTGACCTTGAGTGATCCTCCCACCTCGGCCTCCCAGAGTGCTAGGATTACAGGTGTGAGCCGCAGCGCCCGGCCCACCCTCTTCTTTCATGCCCATCAGCATTAATCATACTGCCACCCGGGGAACTCAATCGGTGTTCGTTGATTGACTCATTGACACCCCCAGGCTCCTCCCACACCACGTTGTCAGGGCCTGGAACTGGGAAATGGGTCTTAGACGACAGCCAGGGGAACGTCTGCAGGGGGCATGGGGACCTTTTTCTGGCTGAGCGGCCAAGGGCATGCAGGTGTCGGCAGCCTCAGGAGGCTGAGGGAAAGGAGGCCGTGTGCCTGGGCTGACCTGCAGGCCAACCCCCGGGCAGTCACCAAGGCAGCGCTCCACGAGGGCAGGATGTTTCCATCCTCCAGCTGGGTGTTGGGACTCTCCTGGCCTGACGCCCCGCCTTCTCCTGGTCAACAGGTGTGCACTTGGGTGCGGTGGGAGGGTGGCTCGGCTGGTGTGTTTTCCTCTCTTCACGGTGGTCCTGCATCCAGGGTGCACGGTGGCTCTTCTTGGCTGTTGGAAATGCCTGGCTGAGCCCCAAGATTGGGTGGTCCCAACTGCCCCTCTGTCACATTAGCGAGGCTGGAAGTGGAGCAGAATCGGCTGATTAATGACTGGGTAGCACCCCGAGCGGCTAATTAATGACTGGGTAGCACCCCGAGCGGGTGGCTGAGCCAGTAGCAAGCCGGCGGGCTGGGGGAGGGGACAGGTCTCCAGGGAAGAGGGCGCTGGGGCTCTCATCCCCGCCTGTTCTCCGAGATCCCCGTTCCTGCAACGGAGAAGATATCCTGGGGAGGACTGAGGGGATGGCCAGGAAGAGAGCAAGATTCGTCATGCGGGGAGGACACATTCTGCCCCGCCCTTGGGAAGCTTGTAAGACATTTCTGTTAAAGTGATTAATTAAGAATACATTCACTTCCTGATGACTGTGCGTGCCAGACACGGAGGGTTCATGCACCCTACAGATGTTTGTTGAGCACCTGCTGTGTGGCTGGTGCCAGTTAAGGGCTGGGGACACAGGAGGGGCAGACCCGCGAGTCCCTGTCCTCCTGGGGCTGGCACGCCACGTGGGAAGACAGATGATGAAGCAGACAAGCGAAGGCACGTGCGACATACTGCCAGGGGGACCTGCACCAGGGCATGCAGCCAGCGGGGACAGTGGGACAGCGGGCACGAGGAAGGGGCCGTTTTAAATGGGCGGTCAGGGAAGACCTCTCTGAGGAGGTGACGTTGGGCACAGATCTGGTGACGGAGGGCCCACGGGAAGGGAACAGATGGTTTTCCATGCAGGGCGCAGGCCCTGAGGGCAACCAGCGTGGGGTGTTGGAGGGGCACAAAGGGGGCCGGGGCCGCTGGGGCGTGCGTGGAAGTAGTCAGGCACAGAAATGGAAGCGCAAGCCCCCGCCTTCCGGGAGTGCCGTCTAGTGGGGACACAGATGTGCATGCAACTGCGTGATAGTGCGTGCGGCCTTGTGCTCGGAGTGACGGTAGGGTGTGTGGGATTCAGAGTGAGCCCAGACGGGGCAGTAAGGTGCAGAGGAGGCGATGAGCGAATTAGGTTTTGAAGGATGAATAAGAGTTTGTCGAGCCTGTCAATTCTCCTCGGAAATATCTGCACGAGGTAGCCTGGGGGCTGGGTCCAGGGCCAGAACCGGGTAGCGTATTGTGGTTAAATGCACAGGTTTGGGGACCTGGGCTCAGGTGCCGGCCCTGCGCCATCTCAGTGACCTTGGGCAAGTTGCTTAGCCTCTCTGCCCTCAGTGTCCTCGTGTGTAAAAGGGGTGACGATTGCACCTCCCTTGTAGGGCTCCTCGGCGGCTGTGGGGGCAAGCGTAAGGGCTCTGAGCGTTGCTGGCGGGACATCCTGCCGCCTGGCTGGCTCAGGCGGGCTCCTCGCCCGCCCGGCACTAAGGGCTGGGGGTCGCAGGGGGGGAAGGTCAATGGGGCTTTGCGTGGAACGGGGTCTGCGCCTTGAGGCTGTTCACAGCACTGGGCAGGCTGGGCTCCTTCCATCCTGAGAGGCGGGAGAGGATGGGGGGCTCCTGGGGCCACCCGAGGCCACCCTGGTGAGCGACAGGGGCCGGCGTTCACCAGGCCCTGGCTGGGCGCTTCCCCACGTCTCCAATTCCGTGGTCACAGCCACCTGGAGCAGAGGGCTTCCTCTGTGGCCACTGTGCAGCTGGGGATTCTGGCCTCAGAGGTGGCGCTTCCTCCCCAGGGGCAGGAGATGGGGGCGGCGCTCTGGGTCTTCCTCTCTCTCAGCTGGCGAAGACGCCTTTGTCTCCCTAGGCCGTGTTCGGGCGGCTGCAGCCTAGCCGTGGGTCCGAGCAGTGGGAGTCGGGAAGAAGCTCGGGCCCTGGTGTGTCTGGGGTGGCGTCTGTGACAGGCGGAGTCCCCGTAGCAGCCGTCTCGGGGACCTGTCAGCACGCATCGTGGCTCTCCTTGCAGCTGCTCCCAGGCAGAGGACGGGGAACTTAGGGACCCCGCGCCGCCCACCTCCCGGGTCCCCCCTGACACCCCTCCCACTTGCGCAGACGGCCCCGGGCTCGAGGTGGGGGCGGTTGGGGCGGGCACTGCCCAGCAGAACCGCCAGGACCCTCTTCCCGCCACCAGACACCTGTCCCGCCCAGCGGGGACGGCCAGGTCCAGCACACGGAAACACGGGACGCCCAGTTACGTCTGAGTGTTGTGGGGCATACTTAGACGACACCTGCCTCTCCCAAGAACTTACTTGTCATTTATCTGAAATTCAGACTTAGCCAGATGTCTTGTGTGGCCACCCACCCCCTGTGAACTGCTTCGCCGGTGTGCACGCCATATGCCCAATTCTATTGCATTTTTGGGCTCGGGTGGCCTGTTTGCTGTTTGTTTTATAGATCCTCCTCCTCCTTCCTGGCTCACGGGGTTGAAACTCCCTCTGTTATTTAAAACAAGAAATTCCTGGGCCTCTGGCAGACACAGTTTCTTTACCTGATACTTTTTTATTTTTTGGCAAAATTGTTATTCGGCAGAGATCTTGAACGGGAAGAGCAGAGGGAGAAAAGGGGCTGCCATGCTTGCTGATCACACGTGGGAAACTAAGAAAATATTTACAGCTTGCAGAAGGTTCACCATGTTCCCGTGTATTAATATTTTTGGCTCTCTCTCAGTTCTCTGGGACAGTTTACTTTTTATTTTTTTTTCATTTTGCTTTCGCTTTATAAAACATTTCGACAACTGGAGCCAACTGCTTCTCTTTTGGTTTTAAAGCCTAAACAGTTTTTTCTTTTTCTTTTTTTTCCAACCAAAGAATGCTCTGTGCACTGGGTGGCTTCTGCCAGCCCGCGTGCCTTCGCCGCGGCACGGGCGATCGTGGCCTCCCCTGCACCGCAGCAACGCGCAGGCTGGAGCGGAAAGTGCGATTTGCAGGGGATGCATCTGACGGCTCCCTCGAGCCTCGGCTTGGGGGACTCAGACGTTCTCCTCTTCCCCCACTCATTGTGCTGTCTTTACTCTCAGCCCAAGAACCCGTCCCTTGCTTCACAGGTAGTCTGCCGTCCACGCACCTAAAGTAACAATTAACGTCCCTCTCTGGGTCTCGCTGAAGACGGAACGCAGCCTCCCTCCCGCGGCACCCAGGAGCCTCCCTCTCCGTCTGGCCTCCTTCCAGTCACCGCTCCGGTTAGCGGCCCGCAGCAGCTGAGCGCGGCTTCTGCCCCCTCTTTCCTCCCGCCGCCCTCCTCCCCGCCCTCCCCGCTGCCAGCTCCCAGGATGTGAG